AAGGTGCCCGCCCCCCCCCCCCCCCCAAAAAATCCCTATGAAATGACAAAAAAACTGGGATGGCTCAAAGATTCATGCATTTGGCATCCAAGGAGGAGGGTGACAATCAGCTGGTCTGCCCACCTCGATGCAGAGGGCAGGGAATTCTGCCAGGGGCCAGATCACACATGTCTTGTAGAAAAGCGACTAATTTAATTTTAATACTTTGAGCAGTGGTTAGTCCATATTACTGCTCCATAAAAGTGTGCCCACATTTAATTACCTTTTCCACTAAGAAATTGTATTCACTTTTGTGTAACTTGAGATCCCAGCCTCTGCACCTTCTCATGCACCTGTCAGCTATGCTGAACAGCCTTGCAGGACCAGACTTCTTTCTCTGTAAGTACTGAAAACATCAGTCCTTCGCTTCTCAGTCTTCATTCTGGTAAGCTGAATACCTTAATGTCGACATCATAAATACATTCATCAGAAATACATTCATCAGACCCAAGTCTGTTTTGGGACCTTCTTTACAACTCTGCCCAGTATTTCCATGCTCTCTTGGAGTATTATTTCCAGGATGAGACACAGTACTTTAGCACATGCTTTCTTAGTCTCACGTGTAGGTGCAAAGTCATTCTACTCTTTGGTATCCCACTTTTCAGACATATAAAGAATACATGTCTCTCTTTCTTTTTGCCAAAGCACTGGATTGAGAACTGCAAACTAAGAGCTGATGTCTGGAAGGGCCATAATGTGTCTGAAGAGTCAACATATACCCATAGCTAAGAACGCATCAGTTGTTTAACAAAACGTAAATACAGATAATACTTCTTGCTTTCTGTGAGACATCCAGTGTCTATTATAGACTCAAATGATGCTCAAGATGCCTGAATCAACAAACGCAAAGGCTAAGTCTTAGTTGCTGGATGGGGGTTAAACCACGACACCTAAACTCAGTGGTTTTCAGATGAAGATAACTACAACAGAACTGCCAAACTCCTTTGCAGATCATCACCACAACATTTCTAAGACAGAAAACTTAAGAAGAGTTGTTCTGCCATGGGAAACCTCGGCTGCTGGACTACAGGCTGACCTGTGATTTGGAGCAAGATGCCAGGACAGCCACAGCACGCCTTGTTAGGTACAGGCTAACAAATGTACAGGCTAAAATGTTCTGGTTTGGTTTACAGTAGCTATTAGTTTCAAACACTTGTACTTAACCCCTCTCCCCCTGCCTTTAGCCATCTGAATTAAATCTTTATTTTGGTTTACTACAAAAGCTTACTGAGTGCTGTGGGACAGGATGACCTAGGATAAAGTCAAATCTTAAAGACTGAGGATCACTTTTCCCACAGAGGCTAATCATAGATGCAGGCTTTGGAGATCATGTTTGCCAAGCTGATCTCTCTACCTGGACAAATTTGGATGGCTTTTCATAGCAAAATGCACTTCCCTATGCCTTGCAGGCTCCCTGCCAAGCTTGGGTCCCTCTTCAAAAACCAGAGACACCAAAATATCTCAACAGAAAAACCATCAGTACTTTTAGCATAGGCAAAGCAATGTATACGTCTTCAGCTGGTTTCCTGAAGTAGATAAACTTTTCCAAAAGACCCTCAGCTTGAGGCGGATGGCCAGCATAGGTCTTTTAAATGATGAGAGTTTGGCAAATTTACAAGCCAACAGAAACAGGTTCTTTCTTGTGGTAGAAAGTGTCTGCACACCTTAAGCATAGTCAAGTACGCCTTAACTATGTGGTGTGCTCTGCTCTGCTAACACAGTTAGTAATTATTATTAGCACTAATAGTATATGCAGTCATGGGCATGATGGCAGTCCTGCTTCCACTGCAGGTGAGAAATCAAGGGCAGATCAAGAGGGGCTGGTTGCTCCTTTCTGCCTAAGCACAAGCTGGCTCGGACAAGGAGCGCTCCAAGCCCCAGGACCTGACGAGCCCCGGCAGGACTCCTGGGTGCCCGGTGCGCAGAGGTGCCCCCCAGGCAGAAGACCTTTCCTACCTTCTGCTGCTGTGCTGGGGCCATCAGGCCGGGTCGTCCCTGTGCTCTTTTTCCTGCGATGCTTCTTCCTGTTCGCATGTGGTGATGGAGGTGGCTCCAGCTTCGGGCTGGCAGCACTGGAAATGTTTGGGCTGGAGCTGAGAGAATCGGCAGTACCGTTAGCTGGGAACAAAGATAAAGAAAGTAATGTACAGCAAGACAGTGACAGTCTGTTCTTTCTAGAGACAACCAAGTGTCCTGGAGACAGCCCCAATGTTCTGCCTGGCTCAAAATGCACAGACCCATGAGACAGGACAGCACCCGCACTCAGCCCCGCTGCATGGGGCAGCTCCGACACCCACTCCAGCTCAGGGCTGGCAGGCTCCTTGGGCAGGGTCAGGCTGGACACACTCTGCACTGGGATTCATCCGGGATGATCACACCGAGACAGCGCTGGCACCTACGTAGCCGGGACAAGCACAGCGGCATCACTGGGGGCAGCCCGACATGCCAGCCTCTCGGCGCACGTCCCTGTGCATACTGCTCAATGGCAGTGTCCTCACAGGGCAATGCGTGCGTTTTGGGAAGGGACAGTCCCAGGAGGTGTTTTCGGCCCCCCAGGTGCAGATCCAGGTCCCGGGATCTGCAGTACTGCTGCAGAAGCATCGATCCCCCACGGCACCGCTCTGCCAGACGAGGTGACTGGGGTTGCCACACTTAGGAACCTAAGCATGATGGTCTCAATAGGCTTCCGATATGGAGCTGAAGAAGCTGCATCCCCAGCAGCAACGCACCAAATTTATCCTCAATCATACTGTTCCTTACAATTAATAGCAGAATTAGAAACAATCAGGGAGCTGCCTAATTACTGTCAATTAGAGCGCGCTAATCAAGCTCCGATCACACACACACACGCTGCCGCTGCACTCACCATTAAATGTCAAATTTCATTAGAGACCAGCAACAAAATCAAAAGCCTGACATTCAATTTCAGCAGCACACACAGCGCAGGCTTCCAATCAGCATAAAAATGCAGACTCCGGGGAAGGCAACGAGGCGCAGGAGCCCTCGCTGCACTGTTAACCCTCTCTGAAATACACTCCTGCCTCTCCAGTGTCCACCCGCCCACAGGGCACACATGGCAGCTCCGCTCCCAGCTTGCTTCTGCCCTGGGCAGCTTGCTGTCCTCTTTGCAGCAAGCCAGTGTCTCCCGCTAAGTCCTAACCTCCAATTTCCATGTTTTGTGGCACCTGAAATTAAGAAAGCAATCACAGCATCTAACAAGGGCAGCACCCTCCAGCAGTGGGGACTGCCTGTGACTTGGCAAGCCCTTCTCCCACTCCAGCCTAGCCTCTGCTCTCCTGTTTCAGCCCGGCTTGGTCTCTGGGGCTTGGTCTGTCTCTGTGTGGCAACACAAACATCCAACAATGGGGCAGAGAGGGCTACAGGCAGTGGCCAGGAGCTGCCCCATGCAGAGGTCTGGCATGCAGCTGGTGTCCTCCTCACAAGGCTGGGAACGGATGCGGCATCAGAGCTCTTCTATCTCTGGTTTCTACTACATTTGACACACACTAGTAGGGTGTTTCTGTTGCTATTTATCCACAGGGAAATAGTTCACCCTTGACAATTAAGAGAGATAAATCTAATAGAATCAGACTTCAGTTTTATAAATATAAATTACTGATACTCTTCAACAGGACTACACTTGGAACAGGTGTGAGGCACCTTCATCTCCCAGCCTGGATGCCACAGGGGACCTGAACTTTCTCGTCTGAGGCTACACATGGTGCATCCAGCCTACCTCTGCTGCCCACCTGCTCACCAGGATGCCCTCCGGGCCAAACCATGCACCGCCAGCATCCTGCCCCCCTCCGCTCATCCGCTCATTGTAGAGGGTTCATGCATTTCTGCAGCTCCTGCCAACGTGCTTGCAGGCTGCGGTGAGCCTGACATCTCACGCTCCGCAGAGCAGAGATCACCCACGTCCCTGCTCTTCTTACCACCTAGCAGCTAAAGACACAGAGCTGGGGGCTTCCAGGGCCCCCAGTGGGGTAGGGATGGGACTGCAATGGGGCAGGGGCAGAACGTGAAACACGCTCTCTCTACAAGATCAGGTATTGCTTGCTCTCCCTCTTTTCCCAGCAGGACAGAAGTGAGCTCCTCTGACACACCCAAGGACTTCCAGGTCCCCATCTCACCATGGGAAGCCTTCCACAGGCAGGCGTGGGACCTCCTGGTTCCTCCCTCCGAACCAGCTGGCCTTACAGGCAGCCCCTGGTTCTCCACGGGTGGGCGCAGAGGTCCTCCCGTAAAGGACAAACACAAAACGTGCTGGAGTGTGTTTACATGGCCTGTACAGCTTGTCCCACCCCTCTCCCATGTGCTCTCCAGGTCACAACTGGAGGAGGCAGCCCGTCCCTAGGAGCCGTGAATGCAGCCTGCACCCTCTGCACGCGCCTGCAAGTCTGCTCTGAGCAGAGGAATATTCCTCATCCTGCCACGCCATTTAGAGCTGGAAATAACAGCGGAGAACTCAGACCCGGGCTGCACGGACACGGTGGCACAGCCAGGGTTCAGGCGCAGATGCAAGGCATGCCTGCTTCGGCTTAGCTCAGCCCTGCAGCAGAGGGGCGGACATGCTGCTCAGCCGTGCAGGACGCACTGCCTGTCCCCCCAGAAGCCCTCTCCCTCATGACACTGAGAACCCACTTTTTCTGCTGGCTGCTGCCTGTGCAGGTACGCAGCCCAGAGAGCCGCCAGCCTGGTGTGTGCACAGCCCAGGGCTGCTCCAGCTGACCGGGACAGGAGCCCGGGCTCGCCACCTCCCTGGGGCCAGGGCTTTGCTCCAGGGGCGCCACCTGCCCCAGCCCTTCCTCAACAGCCCTGAGCGGTTCTGCAGACGGGAGACGGATGCTGGGAGGTATGAAATTGCTGCTTTTCCCACCAGCGCAGTGGTGATGGTGCTGTGAGCTGTGAGCTGGGTGATGGACTGCAAGGCTGCTCCAGGAGGCTCCCGGGACAGCCGGGCCGGTTGCCCCTCATATCCTGCGGGCCCTTCAGCACGGCCGGCCCAGTGACGTGTCTGTGGACCACTAATGCCAGGGCAGGGCAAGGCAGGATCGACCCACGGGGCTTGGGGTCCAGCACAGTGCAGCGGGACCTGAGAGTGGACGAGCAGCCTTCACTGCTCAAGACACACAATTAGCACTGAGCTGACATCTCACCCCTCCACATCACCGGGAGAAGAAGCAGCTTCTCAGCTCCCGTTTGCGTCAGTCTCCTGGTTACTTTGCATGAAAGAGGTAGATTGCTTCGGGTGGCTGCAAGCGCAGCAGGCTCCTCCCGTGGACAGGGAGCAGAGGCTGTCTTGGTCTCCTGTGACACTCAGGCCAGAGCCAAGCCAGGCAAAATGCACAGCATGGCCATGCTAGGCCCTTGGGCTCCTCAGGGGGACTGCTGGGAGGAAGACGAGACCTGCTTGGATGGTTCCTGGGGCAGGAGGCTATCCAGGCAGACAGCTGCTGTCCGGAAGGGCTGTGCCACAAAATTCACCTGTGCAAAGGCAAGGTGCGTGCGGACTGCAGCGCTGCCCGTCTGCTCACCTGCACCAGGGAGCGCAGACCCCGCTGCTGCGCGTACAAGGGCACGCTCGGCAGTTAGCATGGAGGCTCTGCTGCCTGCCTGCACGACTCCAGTGGGTCAAGGCAAGGTGCTGCCCGTGGTGGGGCACCCCTCTCCCGGCCCGAGGACTGGTCCTGCAGCATCCCAGCAGATGCGCCTGTGTCCGAAGCAGCGCGCGGAGCGGCGGTCCCCCCTCGCACCCCGCTTCCTCCGGTGCTGGAGGAGTGGAGGCTGCCCTGCTGCACCCTGTGTCCGAGGCGAGGGGAGGGGGGGGCTGCCGGCACATTAATGCTCAGAGCTGCGCCCTTCCGCTCCCGTCGCCTGTGCTGCCCCATCAGCAGTAACAGTCTGATTAATTCGCTTCCAGCAGGGAGCTGATGGGGCCAATGATGGAGCCGCTGCATCAGGCGCGCTGAAATTGATAGTTTTTCACAGTTACAAATGAGGAGCCTCCTCAGCTGCAAATGGCGCCCGCACAGTCGGACTCCGGTAATGATCATAAAGAGGCTCTCTTTAAACTGCGAAAGCCCCTGGGACCGAGCGGGGGGGCGGCTGCCGCGCTAATGAGAACTACAAGGGGCGAGCAGGCATGGAAATGGCTCCTCCACTCTTGATGTGCATTTAACTGCTTTTTTAGTGCGGCGGCAGAGCCAGGAACGAAGGAGTGATGAATGCAGCACAAAAGCATTTATTTTCCAATTCGGCAAAGTGGCTACGTTGGGAAATGTATGAATTATTTTAATTCACTCAACTGTCCTGAAACATCACAGAGAGCGAGTGAGCGTGGGGGGAGGGGGCGGGCGGCGCTCAGTGTGTGCTCCAGAGACAGGAATTACTCCTATTCGTTCAACTGCCCCAAAATCTGGGAGCTGGGGCTGCTGACGAGGAGCAGAGATGGGGGAAAGCAACGGTTATCCCTTGCACGGTGAGCTGAGAGTGGGGCAGGTGGAGGAGAGAGGTCAGAGAAGTCCTCAGAGCAGCATCCCTTGACTGGAGGGAGACTGCTTTACCGTGCTCGGCAAGAGAGCTTCTCCCCCCAGTTTGGACGCTGCCAGCTGACCCTCACGAAGGTGGACAGTCCCAACAAGGCCCCAAGGGCTGTGTCTGACACCCGTGAGCAAAGTCTGGGCTCACAGCCACAGGGCATAGCTCAGGATTGCCCCATCACCAAAATAAGCCTCCCCACCTGCTGCAGCTGAGGGGAGCAGGGTCAGAAGTGCTACTTACAGGGGTTGGGGCAGCTGCCAGGGATAGCCACAGCCTCGTTCCACTGGTCTGCGCTGGAGACGGAGTAGGAGCGCTGGTGCATGCCGTCTGGCTTTGAGCTGAAGCCCACCAGGTTGATGCCGCTGATGGAGCGCTCTGAGTGCAGGGAGGTACTGCTGGTTGAGTGGGGAGCACCTGCAAGAGAGACATGAGTTTAGCACGGACCAGCTGCTGCCCTGAAGCACAGTGGAAGAAGGAAAAGCTGTCCTGTACCTGATGTGACATGCCCTCCTGGTGGCCCTGCCTGAGGACAGGCTCTGTCTGGCTCTCCTCTCCCAAGGGGTGGAAGTGCATCAGCCCCCAAAGGTGCTGAGAAAAGAGCACTGCTCAGCACACACCACTTCTCAGAGGGACACCCAGCTTGATGGATTTCAACCCAGCACCCTGAGATGCACAGCTAGGCATCTTGGCTCACAGCCTCCTTCTCCAGCCAGATTTTGCAGCTGGAGTTCATGGTCTGCTCATAATTTTCACTATAGCCTTTAGGTACCTGGACAAACACAAGCCCACCCCATAGCCCGCGTGTCCATTCTCACTCCTTAACTTCACCTCTTGTGTGTCCCGAGCAAGAAATACAACCATGTTGGAGGCACTAGGAGTGAATGGAAAATCACATGGAGGATGTCAAAGGGACAAGCAGGGGAACAGACGTCTGTAAGGTGGGGATTGTGGGTGGGAACGCCTCTTCCCACTAGCTGAAAATCCCTGCGGCTGAGCCCAGGAGCTTGAACCCCAAAGAAAGGAGTGGTTTTGGGACCAGAGGCCATCACAGAAGACAAGATCACTCAGTGATTCAAAATGGGTCAAGTGTTTCTGGATTACAAGAATATACACAATTTCCAGAATAATATACAGAGCAGTTCTGACAAGGAGCAAAAATCTTGCTGTTCAAGGATGCAGGCAATCTGTTAAGGAGGATGATGCTGCCCTAGAGAGATTACCCTACACCTGCCCACTACAAGCACTTTCCTATGCCTGCCCTTAGGGCATTCAGCTCCAGCCACCGTAGAGCAAGTGCTCTGGGAGCTCGGGGGCGAGCAAAGGGTCCCTTTCCCTACTCTGAAGCTATGTTTCTTCCTTCCACACCCGGAGGCGCAGATGCTGAGCTGGGACTCCCACACCAGCCCTTCTGTCCATGGATGAGTGCAAGGCCCGTTGAATGGCTCCAGCTGCAGTGTGCCTGGCTGATGGGATGCACAACCATAGCCTGACCCGTCTGCTTGCTCCAGCCTCGCCAGAGGTGACCACCCCGTGGCCATGCAAGGAGCCAGGCTAAGAGAGACCGAGCAACTTGTTTCATGGGACTGGGATGTAAGTGGGATCCTTTCACAGAATCAGGATGGAGAGCAGATGGACACCTGCAGGAGCAGGTCCCCACCTGGATCTGCTGCAGCCAGGACAACTCACCTGACCATGTCTTTGCTGTGTAAAACCAGCCTCATTTTGCTCTCACAGCACAGCTGAGGTTGAAAGGGACCTCTGGAGGTCATCCTGTCATCCTGGTCAAGCAGGGCCACCCAGAGCCAGTTGCCCCAGACTGTATCTGGATGGTTTTTGAGTATCTCTAAGGAGGGAGACTGCACAACCTCGCTGGGCAACTATTCCAGTGCTTAGCCACCCTCCACAAAGAGCAGAGCCCTGTAAAATCCCATGTGGAGCCCTGGATTCTGTACATAAAGTTACGTTTCTGTCCCTGCTGTTTCCATGAAAACCTAAGAAATGTGATCTGAATGTCACTGGTGCCTGAGTGCTGCCTGAAGCTGCAGAGTGCCTGAAACAACAGCTCAAGAAGCCCAAATCCCCCCCTACAAAAGTTGGATCCAAGGTGTGTGCTGAACGGAGGGGTAATGTGGGCCATCAGCCCTGCATCAGGCATGCCTGCCATCCACAACCACCTTTCATTCATCACCAGCACGGTGGGTGCCTCCCACCCTTCTCTTCCATGTGCCCACCCCGGACCAAAAACCCCCTTTCTCTGCTGCACTGTGTAGGGACTACCTGTAAGCCTTGCCTGCAGATCCTGCCTGCCCCGGCAGCGGCAATGCAGAGCTCGCATGGCCGCGGTGCCCCGCAGCCCCGAACTGCCAGGGCCCTTTCCCGTGGGGCAGGAGCAGCAGAGCCGCCGGCTCATCTGCCTCCAGCCCGGCTGCCGCACGCTCCCCCTCCCTCCCCTTGTTCAGCGCCACAGAAACACGTGTAAAACCATGACACTGACTTTGCCTCTAATTAGCCCTTAATTTACAAGACACACTCGGAAGGGTAATTAGCTGGCGCTCCGCTCCTGACTGCCGCATCCATCTCCTCTCGCCTCCTCGTGGGAGGGAGCCTGCTGCCACTGGAGCAGGGACAAGGCTGCTCTCCCGGGACTGGGAAGAGCTGGGTCCTGGGGACCCCGCTGCTGGGCTGGGACAGGATGGGATGGGACAGGACGAGCTGCCCCCAGAGCTCAGGCAGTGCCCGCCAGCCCCAAGCCAGGCTGCGCACACAGCACGTGTCTATTGCCACAGCCGTAGAGGAGAGGGACGCAAACAGCAGGAGTGCAGAGTGCCTGGGAGAAGCTCCTCCAGCAAAGGGGAAAGTCCTGCAGGGCCCCAGGGAGCCCAGATTTGCCCCTTGCACCTCCACCCCAGCCATACTGGGAGCCCAAGCCTGCAGGCACGTGCCCTTCCATCGTCTCCTCCGAAGAGCAGCGCGGGCTGCCACAGACGCCCAGGTGCCCCAGCCCTTACCAGAGCCAGGGACATGTGATTCTGCCGTGGCCAAGGCACCCTCCAAACCTGCGCCCAGCGATGGACCTCCTTGGTTTTGTGGCACCGTGCGGTGGGTGAAGCTGGGCAGCAGGAACAAGTGCTGGCAGCAGGAAGGGAATATACTGTGGTCAGACTTGCAGAGCAGCAGCCCCAGGCACCTCAAGTGCCTGCCCCGCAGCCCCGCTCGGCTTTGCCAGCGGCCGCCCTGGGAGCACACCACACTGCCAGGGCAGGCGGCCACAGCTGCGGCGTGACCTGCGCCAGGCCTGCGGGACGCCAAGTGTGTACAGAAGAAGACGTGCTTGGGAAAGCCGCCGACACACGCTCAGAGCCCACACGCACGCCCACCCGACCCTGCACCAGCGCCCAGCATGAGCCTCCCGAATCTGATGCCTGCCTTGCCAGCAGCGTGTGCCACGAAGAAGCAGCCCCAATTTGAAATGAAACGGTGCTGCTACGACTTCCAGGAACAGCTTCTATCAGCCTCTGCAGTCTCTCCAGGAGCTCCCAGCTGCCTGGATTCACCCAGCTGCAGAGAAATGTCCTCGCAGCCCAGCCGCTCGCTTGGCTCACGGACCTCTTGGCCATGCAACTCTGGCTTGTCCCAGGGATCTGCAAGGTGGTCCCAACAAGGCTAGAGCTCTAAGGAATTGTGTCCCTTTGGAAGTGACACCACCGGCAGTCGCTGGATATGTTCCCTTTAAATTAGGCAAGCAAAGTGAAAGGTGAATTAAAAGGCTACATGTAAAATACTAACTGCCTCTCTGAGCCAAAGCCTCCAGGAACTGAACTCTCCCTGACCCTGCCTACAGTCCCCCAAGCAAAGCTCTCCCAATCACTATTTCCTCAAAAACCCAGAAAAAAGAGATTCATGTAGACATGTTAGTGTGACCTCACCAGCAGGCAAGGCTTCATGATACCTTTTTAAGTAAAGCCTAACTGATGACACAGCAGTAAATGGAAAATGACCTAAAAACAGAATGTCATTTTTCTCAGCGTGGAGTGTGGCAGCCTGGCCACTTCAGTAAAACACCTGAATCAAAGCAAACTGGAAATTCTTCATTAAGGTATGGACACACAGGGAACTGGACAAAAATGAGTTAGCAAAAAGGGGTACTGCCAGTTGGGAAGGAGATAATTTGCAGAGTCACTTGAGGATCTTTGGACAAATCTTTGGACAAATCTAGTATTTTCAGCAGTGATTTGGCAAAATAATACAGGGGTTCTGGTGAAATTTCCTGGTGACGTTAAGTTGGAAGCACTGCCAGTATTCTGGAGATGAAGATGGCATACAGGACTAGATGATTTTGAAAAGTGAGCTAACAAAACCACAACAAAATTTATTTAGTACACAATGCAAAGACATGTACTCTGGAACTAATGGGACTGATTCAGAAAAAACTGGGGAAGTACATACTGTTTGCCATGGGATTTGGATTGCACTGCAATGACATGAATGTTTGCACTAGGCTGGGGCTCTTAACTGGGCACACCACAGGAGGAGGAATTCTGCAAGTATTGCCTCTTCACAGCATTACCAAACTATACCACCACTGAGGCTGGAAAGTCAAATGTGATCCCATGTGTGCAAGATGAGGTATGTCTTGCATAAGTGGGAAACGCACACTTTCTGCACAAAGCTGGTATGATGCCTCACCTAGATCCTCATGCACAACCTACCACCCTGAAAAAAACTAATTCAAGGTGGAATGGGTATAGAAAACAAAGGTGACTTTCCATTTCTACTAATCCTATTAGCCCACCTGCCCACATCCTACAACCTGCAGTCCTGAACTACTGCAGACTGCCAGTAATAGCAACACGAAGTGTACGGACATGCTAAGTCACATGGTTTTTTAATAGGAGTAATACAGAAATACCTACATTCTTGACAACTTCATTGAGGAAAGGACTACTTCCTTCTCTTCCTTGAACATACAATAACCTGACCAGCACTGAACAAACCAAGCTGTGACACATCAGCTCTACCTCCTACCACTAGCATCCAGCATCCACTTCTGAGGAAGCTCTGGGTGAAGCCAGATGTCTCCTTGATGCACATCCTGGGTGCTGAGTGTCTGCAGTCTGGCCAGGACACGGAAGAGAGACTGCTTCAGCGGCACAGATGGATACGCTCTGCGCACCAACAGACAAAGGACAGATACCAGTGATTATGGTCCTGGGCTAATCTCTTTGCTGTGTTGGATGCTGTCAACCCAGGAATAAAGCCGTTTCAACCTAAGAAAGGGGACAGGGTCCCAAAGGCTCATCCTCCTTTGGCGAATGCACACAGCAGACTGCAACACAAAAATGTCTTCACACTCTCAGACTCCTGCCTGGTGATAACTCAAAGGAAGAGCTGTCTCTTGCTGGATTTATTCAACA